TTTTTTTATAGACATCGAACACCTGCTCGAGCGCCAAGAGGCCCGCTCGAGCATGACCCGCTCGAGCGTAAGGAAATTCGCTCAAGCGTGAAAAACACATCTGCAGTAGTTTTGCAGACGCACAAGATACTGAAAATATGCAAACTCCGCTCTAGCGCGAAAAGGGTCCGCTCGAGCGGAACACCAAAAATCCGGGCAACAAGGAATGGGACTAAAGCTCAACCAACCTATTCGAAACACGTCTAATACAACCCAAAACTCAAATACAACGAGTAAAGGATGGAAATGAGAATACGACAACAACACATCCACAGAACCGAGTCCGGAATACAATAAAATAAAGAAAGGGAAAACCGGGATTGCTATAGGTCCTCATTCCTCGCCTGAGAAAGCAGCTCGAGTTTATGATGCTGCCTTGTATTACATAAAAGGTAAAGAAGGTTCATTCAATTTCCCTAACCATAGAAGGCCAGATCTGGCTAATGAATTAGTGGGTTCGTTGGCCAATGATGAAATAAAACGTATTGCAACAAAGTTTTCATGTTCGGATGATTCGGGGGCAAGATCAGAGCCTTCTCTGATGTCGTCTCTTAGGGCAGATCATTTGTCGCTTGAACCTTCAGGTTTACCAGATCCACAGAGTACAACTGAAATGGTTGCAAATAAGGTTGATGGTGAACTATATGTCCCAACTTTTGCGCCTGAGAAAGAACCGTTTGTCCCAACTTTTGTCCCAAAGGAACCATATGTTCCTGCTTATGTCCCAGAAGCGGCCTCCATGTCACATGGAAATTTACAATTAGATGAGTGATTTACGCTAGATTTCATTAATTACAGATCTTAGATATATAATATCATGGATCCTGTTAGATTGTGCTAGTATATGTAGGATCATTGTCAATGGAAGCCTTGTCGTAGTGAAGATGGTTTGAGTCAATTTTAGAAAATCCATTTAACGTGTCTTATCTTTTCTTTTTGTTCTCTTAATTTGTCAACAACAATGTTATCAAAATCATATGAAGAAAAAAAAAAGAAGTAATCACAAACTTGTATCGTTGGTAACTTGAATCATGACATGCTTTTTCATATCATACAATTTCTTATTATATCATGATTCAATGTGTATTGTATGATACATTAATCTTTATCTTCTCCTTGAATTTAGCTCTATTAGCATTTTTTTTTCCCGTCACTGTCAATCACCATTTCTGACGTTCATTGAACAATCATGAATCATATTCTCATAAAATTCATTACAAAAGATACCAAATCCATATAAACTCACTCACAATAAAAAATGACTCCCATACTTTGTTGTTGCAAAAAAAATTGAATTATGCCAATGGGTGTAATTTTGGTATAAAAAAACAAAACAAAACAAGACAGAGCACAGCGAATATGACAAACCTGCCCAGAGGAGTGGAGAAGGCCAGGGAGAGGACGCATGTAGACCTCATCAGTGAGATGACCGTTAAGAAAAGCATTCTTAACATCCATCTGATAGAGAGGCCAATGTCGAATAGCAACAACAAAAATCAAGGTACAGACATTAGTCATCTTGGAAACAGGGGTAAATATCTCCTCATAATCAATACTATACTCCTATGAGAAATCCTTGGTAACCAAGCGAGCTTTGTATCGCTTAAGAGAACCATCAGAATGAATCTTGACTTTATAGACCCATTTGCAACCAACCAGACTCTTGCCAGTAGGCAAAAGAACCAACTCCCAAGTGTAAGTCTTCTGCAAGGCAAACAACTCATCCTTCATAGCTTGAACCCAATTAGGATCCTGACAGGCCTCCATGTAAGACTGAGGTTCTGAAAAAAAAACTATCATAATAGATAAAAAAAAGTACGATAGGAAGGAGAAAAATATGTATTAGACCAACCCAACCTGTTTGGAGGATGACGCTCACGAGTAGAATATCGATGTGCAGCGGGATCAGAGTCGTTAGAAGCAGAAAGAGCAACAACAAGAGTGGAGAAAACTGGTAATGGGGGAGCCTTGCGACGAGAATAGACCAACAATGGAGGGAAAAAAGAAGCTGAAAGAGGAGAAGGAGCCATAGAAGACGCAGACAGAGAGATAGGAATGGCCTCAGGAGGATCAGTGGAGGGCTACTCAACAGGAGGGGTAGAATGGGGAGAAGATAGAATGAGCTCAAGAGAAACAGTGGAGATATACTCATCGGACGGGACCTCAGAAGGAAACGGATCAATATGAACCAAATCCTCTTTGTAAACTCAGGCATTGAAAGAAGGAAGTTGAAAGTAAGGTAGACTTTCGAGAAAAGAAATGTGATGGGAGACATAAAGACGACGGGAAACAGAGTCGTAACACCGATAGCCTTTCTGAGTAGGACTATAACTAAAAAAAACAGAGGACAAACCGGGCACTAAGTTTGGTCCTATCTTTACAGGGAAGAATGACAAAACAAGCAGACCCAAACACACAAATGAGGGAGTAGTTAGGAAGTTAGGAGAACAAAGCCTCATAAGGACACCGACCAGAAAGAAGAAGAGTAGGCATGTGGTTGAGAAGAAAAGCAACAGTAAGAACTGCCTCCCCCTAGAACGAAACTGAAACTGAGGCAGAGAGAAGAGACCTAACTATCTCAAGGAGATGACAGTGTTTACGCTCGACTTGACCATTTTTGGTAGGTGTATCTGTACAAGAAGTTTGGTGAATGGTATCCCAATTGGCCAAATACTCACAGAACTCATTTTTAAAAATTCCCCACCCAAGTCAAACCATAACACTTTAATTGTAAACCCAAACCGAGAAGTGACCATAGACTGGAAAGTACAGTATATCTGGTAGAAGTTAGACTTATGAGTCATAAGATAAACCCAAGTATAACGGATGCAGATGAAACGTAATATTCTCACACAAGCAAATGGTAAACAATCATCAGCCCAATTTCATGAATGGTCCTAAAGTAACCACACAAACCCTATACACGACCCTGAAAGAAGCAAACCATGATAACAAAGAGAATAATAATCTTAGGAAGGAAAAAAAAAAAGAGAAACAAGTTGTCTATAATAATCAAAGGGTTACATATAGGTCCATGACAATTAAATTAGTTGTAGTCTACTACCTCGTAAACACGAGTAATAGACCAGTTACATAGCATGTATACCCAATTTTGTTTTGGCGGGTAGGGGTAACACTATGTCACATGTATGAGTGTTGGGTACGAGTGCATATCTAGAGGTTGGACCCATCAAACCTTATATTTAACCATACACGGACTCGGCAAAAAAATTCATATATATACATATATTTTTTAATCTATTTTGTGATGTCAGATAAAATAGTGTTGTATGTAAATTATAGTGTCAAAAAGAAATTGTACTCATTTGATAGCAATAATACAATAAAATATACATATAATGATAGCGTGAAATACAAATATATAAGAATTGTTTGACGAAAAGTATCGGACATGTATACCACACCCTTGTCCAAATGTCAGGTGTCTAATCACGAGTATTTGAGTTATTTTTGAGAGCCCATGTAACAGAGTTGTAACAAATAAAAACTTGAGTCTTCAATTTTCATAGCCACCTCCACACCCTTGCCACTGTCCCCCTCCATCTCTCCAAAAACCCTTCTCCGTCACCTTCACCACCACCCACAGACAAAGGTGCTGACACAAATCCACGCTTCTTCCACTCTCTCGCTCTTCTTGATTGACAAAAGCAATTAGCTTGAAGTCGCCAAGCAACTGGACCTCACTTTAGGTCAAAAGTCAAGTGGTGGATTGGTCATCACTGTGAGCTTCATGCTACTACCTTTAATTTCATATGCAAATTCACGGTTTCAAATAAAAAATTGAGTAACTTATACCAAAAGTCCCTAAACTTTTCACTCTAGTATAAGGGTTTAATCTATAAAATTATCTCCACTGCAATATCCGCAACAACAAAAAATTGCATGGGATATCACCACTCTTGTGGGGTTCATGCTCCCTTTCTGTAAATACTTCTTTTACGAAGCTTTTTTACGGAGTTATTTTTAAATTTTGGTTATTTTGGAATTTATTATTTATTTTCTTCTTTTCTTTTTTTTTTTTTTCTTTTGAGTTGGCTTCTAAATATTAGGCTTATGATTAATAGAAGACACTTAAGATATTGAGATTAATATTGAATACTGAGCATTAGGGTTTCTTTGATTTGGCCTCCTTTTATTTACACAACACTAGTAAAAATTTGATTATTTATGACAATTTTGAATGGCTTGTGATGCCATTGGGACTCATTAATGCCCCAAGCACTTTTATGCTGGTAATGACTCAAATGTTGCAACCACTCTCTGGAGTATGTGATGCGTATTTCAATGATATTTTGGTGTATAACCGTTGCCTTGAAGATCATTTGATTCATCTACAATATGTGTTTGACACAATTGGGGGGTACGATTGGGCAATTTACTTCTAGCCCTATAGGAAGAACATGGAGGGATAGATTGATTTATGCGTTTATGTTCACCGCATTGTCTGGCAGTGGCAGTGCTCATGCTCTCCTGTGGTCAGCATGGGTTTTGGTGTCTAGTAGTGGCGATGGTGTTGTCTGGTAGTGGTCATGGTGAGTAGTGATGACCTGTGGTGGTTATAGAGAATGGAAGAGGGACAAATGTCATGGAGAGAGAGAGAGAGAGAGAGGCATATTTTTAGTGGGCCCATTGTTGATGTGTATGGAATCTTGTTGAATGGTTCTATAAGTAATTGGTTTTTTTCTATTAAATTAATCAACAGTTGAGATCAATTATATGAGATCCAATAGCTAAGAGCCAAGGTGCATGAATATGCACACCTTTTATGAGGTGTGTATGGTAGAAGTTCTCGGATGATTAATGTAAATTTATTGAGCTCGAGAACTAAGACGACCTAATTTTGAAAATGTAAGATATTTCAAAGTTTTCATTGTTGTACGCCATGAGTTGTGCAATGATTATATTCTTATCATCATTAGATACATCTTACTTAAAGTTCATTTTTTTTTGTCTTTTCTTTACTTGGTTTTCTTGCTTAAGAAAGGACGCAAGTGTGATTGTGAACTATTTTTTTTTAGTTTATCTATGGTTGAATGATGAATGTCGGTGATTCTGGTGAACTACTGTGGGATGTGCTGTTTTTCTACTTTGGTTGAAACTATTTTATGAATTCTGACTTGGTCAATCTTTTGGTTGTTAATATGATTGATGCGCTCCATGTGAATCTTAATTTGAATTTTTAATTACACAAATCACTAGGGAACATTCGTTAGCACATAAATTTCAACTATATAATGGCTAAGCCTAAGATCCATATATGAATTGATCGAGGTTTATATCAACAGAACCAAAAAAGTCTTCGGAATATAAGCAAGATAAGTGCCACATGGAATCTTCAAAGTTCAAGAGACAGTATACCCAATCAAAGGATAACACATGTAGAACCTCCAGTGGAAATGCTACATTGGAGAAATTTAGAAGATGATCATTCAAGTTTAAATTCAAAATACAGGATATAATTGAACAATATATCACAATCTCATACAAATTCAAATTACTGATAATTGATTCTTATCAATGGCCCTCTGTAAATAGGAGAACCAATGCACTGCAAGTAGTGTTTTCTACATTCTGTCAAGTGGAGCTCTTCTGCAAACCTTCAAAGGTTCCAAATCTGCAGTTTGGCTTTTCTTTGACATAATTGAAAATTATTGCATTGTATGATATCATGTAATCAAGGGCTCCAAACTCCCAAAATTTTAATAAAAGAAACATTTCCTTTTAAATGTCTTCTTTTCCATTTTAACTCAAGTTCTTTATTAATTGGAGATTTTACTTATATTGAGCGAGTAATTAATGATTTGGAGCACCAAATTGGAAATAGAAACCTGCAAACAAATAATCAACATTGTTTATTTCAATGACTAAATAATGGATATTTGCATACAGAAGTTTCGAAATGCAACTAAAAATTTTACATTTCAAAAATTGTGTCAACAATGCCAAACAAAATAATTGCATGTGTCTAAGCTGTTACACATATCTCAATGACTCAATCACCTCGGAACAGAGCCAATTTCTAACATATATGGATATATGATTTCCTGTACTGACATAAATTTATGTTTTATAATGTACATAATTATGTATGTATGCACACGTATATGTACATTGGTATGTAAGTTTATTCACTGTTCTCTGACTGTGCCTTTTCAAATGCTTGTCCATAATCTCTTGTAAGCATTAGATGCATCAAAAGTAGCTTTTAGGAACAACCACAGAAGTTAACCAGACTAACATAAACACATAATAGGGAAATAATTCCAGACAACTATTTCAAGCAATATATATATAATAAATAAATAAATGTGACTTCAACTAGCTATTTTGGTTGGCTTTTTATGAAAAGAAGTGCAAAAAAGCGGAAAAGTAGAGAGAACAATTGATTTTTTGATAGTGACGTTTTGACTTTTTAGCTATTTTAGATGGTTCCCAAACCTGGCGGCAAATATAACCTTTAAATACCAGGTTGCCAAATCCATATATTCATTCAAAACAAGACACTATATTATAATTCTCATATCTAACCATTAGAAATGAAAAGCAACTCTAGGAGGGTTGTACCCAAACCTTAGGAGGAAGAAATTGATAATTCACTCTTGCTGCTTGAACAGGTAGTAGTTGCCATCGATGGTGGTTCATAAATTCGTGCTTTTTTCAAAATTTCTGCAACCACACAATGCTTATGCTTGCTCAATGGCCTAGAAGGGTCCAATCTAACCTGCAATTACAGCTTCATACAATAAGGTTCACTGTACTTGGAAAGTCATTACAACTCATAATCACGATGATAGACTAGAAAAGGAAATATCAACTTAGCAGTACATGTGACCATAATTCTCAAACGACAAATATAAATATATAAAAATCAGTGATAATCAAACCAAACAAAGCAGTTGTCATAATGCTTGTGGTCAAAATGACAGCTTATGCCCATGAGATAAAATAACAAAACGGTTAAAAGAAACCATTAAGTATAAGGAAAATGTTTGAGACCCCTAAAAAAACTCCCCCTATTTGACCCACAATGATGTGGCATAATAGGTGTCAACTTTTGATTTGTCATACACTCAACCTTATAGGGTCTAACTCTCTTGCCATATCATTGTGGGCGAATTTAGAGGTCTAAATTGCGGATCTTTAGCATTTCTCTAAGTAGAATGATAAATGAAAACCCAAACAAAACACAGTATCACAAGAAAACAAAACCTAAATTACACTAACATCAATATTACCACCATAGTTATCAAATCAAGAATCTTATCGTGAATCAAAATCTTAATTTTGCAAATCAAGAAGTGCATTAAATTGAATCAAATCATGTGCAATGTTGGTAAAAGCATACTTAAAGCACAAAGCGCCACATCAAAAGAGCACGCATTTACAAAATTACACTAAAAACTTTTTTTTTTGGTTCATTTTAATAAGCTTAAAGAGGCTTTTGAGATAATTACATTGGCCACCTCTTTAATAAGCTTGAAGAGGGTCTCCCTTGAGGTTTTAATTCACATAACAATTAGGCCCATTTTCATCAATAATTCATTAGTTGTGGGGATGAAAAAATGATATTGGCATCTCTTTACTACTAACAAATATTTATCTTTATTTATTTCAATGTCTACCCACCATCTACATTAATTTTGGTCGCTTTAGTCTTGTTATAAGGGAGATCAGCGTAATTATTTCAAAAGTGTAGGGCCAAGTGTATTTTTTTAAACCACAAGGGAGGTGAGAGTAAATTACCCTTCATTGTTTTAATCTTAAGAGTGCTTTTATTTTTTGTTTAAAAAAATATAATTTGTTATTTTTAATCTTTAGGTTGTCATAGTACTAAATGAGCCCTCAATCATTATATTTAGGATTGTATTGGCATAGAAACCACTACTTACCACTCTAGTGCTTTTCGGTTATTGCCTTTTAGGTATACTAGTTGGACCCACACATGGGGGTCACATTGTAGTTGGAGTGCTTATTTTATGTATGTATATATCGTACCATGTTGCCTGGTAGTGTATTGTATTCGATTTATTAGATAATCGAAAATAGAAGAGGCAACTATTAATTCCTAAGAATTAAGCAAAAGTGTAAATCATGGCTATGTTCCACCAATGTAGATGCAGCATTAGGTGATGCTTGGTATTCAAGGTAAAGAAGAGGATAATAGCCACAAAAGGATTGGAACAGATCAATATTGGAATCAAGCAAAAAAATTATAATAAACATAATTGAGTTGCAGGATGTTCATCCACTTCTAACAAGCAGTATTCCTCTTACAGAAACAAATGAAAACAGTACACTCAAGGTTTTGAAAAGCGGTTGCGGTTGCCGTAACAGTGGCGGTGGCACAGTTGCGGTTGCGGGGTGTGAAGGCCGTAGCGTAACGGTTGTGGTAACCGAAACCGTGAATTTTTTTATTTTTCGCACAATTTGAAAAAAAACTTACCAATACACATATTTTTTTTTCCATGATCATATTTATTGGGTTTAAAATAAATATTGATCAATTTTTGTAAATTTTTAACTATGATCCAATATATTTCATCTTTAGGTTGTCATAGTACTAAATGAGCCCTCAATCATTATATTTAGGATTGTATTGGCATAGAAACCACTACTTACCACTCTAGTGCTTTTCGGTTATTGCCTTTTAGGTATACTAGTTGGACCCACACATGGGGGTCACATTGTAGTTGGAGTGCTTATTTTATGTATGTATATATCGTACCATGTTGCCTGGTAGTGTATTGTATTCGATTTATTAGATAATCGAAAATAGAAGAGGCAACTATTAATTCCTAAGAATTAAGCAAAAGTGTAAATCATGGCTATGTTCCACCAATGTAGATGCAGCATTAGGTGATGCTTGGTATTCAAGGTAAAGAAGAGGATAATAGCCACAAAAAGGATTGGAACAGATCAATATTGGAATCAAGCAAAAAAATTATAATAAACATAATTGACTTGCAGGATGTTCATCCAATTCTAACAAGCAGTATTCCTCATACAGAAACAAATGAAAACAGAACACTCAAGGTTTTGAAAAGCGGTTGCGGTTGCCGTAACAGTGGCGGTAGCACGGTTGCGGTTGCGGGGTGTAAAGGCCGTAGCGTAACGGTTGTGGTAACCGAAACCGTGAATTTTTTTATTTTTCGCACAATTTGAAAAAAAACTTACCAATACGCATATTTTTTTTCCATGATCATATTTATTGGGTTTAAAATAAATATTGATCAATTTTTGTAAATTTTTAAGTATGATCCAATATATTTCATATTTTTAAATCACTATAAACTGAGTTTTTTACATTTTATTTTAATAAATGACTTTATATTATACAAAAAAATCAATCACTAACTATTATATATAAAATAAATAATAACAAAAGTAAGAGAATAAATAAGAGCCTAAATATATATATATGCATATTTTAACCAAGCCAAATAGATAATGACCACACATATTATTATTATTATTATTATTATTATTATTATTATTATTATTATTATTATTTTCAAACAATATATAGATAGACACACACAAACAAAATGGTTGAGTGATAACAACTGAATAGAATAGCATAGGTCTTACAACTTCAACAAATCAATAACACGTTCTTCATCTCTTTCTCCTCAATCTTCTCTCTTTATCTTCCCTCTTCTCTCTATTTCTCTTCCCTCATTTTCAGTTTTTTTTTTTTTTTTTTTTTTTTTGTGTTTTTTCGAAAGAAGTAATTCAGAACCGTTACGTAACGGTGCGTAACAGGCCGTTACGGCTGTTACGACACCATTACAACCGTGATGACAACCGCTACGGCAGCTGTTACGGCCGACACACCTATGAATCTCAATCACACTGCAAAAGCGGCCGTCACGGGTGGCGGTAACCACCACAACCGTTACGTAATTGCAACTGCTTTTTAAAACCTTGAGTACATTAATCAATTGCTTTGAGATGATCTCAATCTGGAATCACTAACTTTAGAATCAACATAATTAGATTATAAACCAACTATTTTGAGACTGCCATTTTAGGTATTTAAAAAACAATGAAGGGATCGGGTATAATACAATGCATTCTCATTTATCATGCATAGATCGTTTGACAATCATTTGGCATGCAGCAATTTTAGCCTAAAAGTCAAAAAGTTACTAAAAAAAAACCAAAAAGTCTATAACCTATATCAAGAAGTCAAAGATTCCATTTTCTCCTTACTTTTTGTGCATTTTTTTTGTAAAAAGTCAAAAAGTCATTTCAAACATACTAAATTTTTTTTTTTACCTCATATATTAGCCAAAAAACTAAAAAGTTACTAAAATAGCATGTTCCCAAACGAGACCTTAATATGCAACGGATTAAATATCCTTCGAAGGATACTGAGTGAAACAGATCTTGTATTGGTCTCTACTCCTTCACTGTCTTAATTCACATTATTCTAATACACAGATAAATTTCCAAACAAGTACTTGCAAGTCTCCTCAAAGCTATTGAATACTTAAATTTTCTTACCATAGACATGTTAAGAGAAAACAATGATACATAAAAAAAAATTAAGTCAAACACATTTGCAAAGAATAGGGGAATGGCTCTAGAAATATGCTCAGATTGTCGAAAGTGCAGTCTGCAAGTCGTTAAATGGCCACAGTAGCCCAAGAAAAAATGATAAAATGTTTCATACTGAGTTTTAGCTTTTTCACGTAACGCTTTGTAACACCCCAAAAATCTGGAAACCCGAACTAACAACTATATTCTTCATTGACATCAATTTCTCATTAAATCATGCGAAAGCTTATAATTAATCCCAATCATTCAATAACCAAACCATACTAAACCCAACATTCCATTCCTAGATTTCTTAAGAGATTACAAAATGAAATCATAGGTGTTAATACATTCATCAATCCTAAGACATGAATCTATAGCATGAGAAATAATAAAATGAAGTCTAAACTAACACAAGTTTTATGTCTTAAAGGTTACAAGTTCCAAGGCATAGCCCGGTTACACCAAAAGGAGTTACACAAACCAATACAAAGAAGCCCTTGGCTATACAAAAAATATACACAATAAACGAGCTTCAAGCTCCAAAATCCTCCCAAGTCATCACCTTGGCAGAGGCATGCCGTCAACATCTGAAATTTGACCGCATTGGGATGAGCATTGATGCCTAGTAGAGAGTATCTTAATGAAATATATGATGCTTGACACTGTCATGCGGTGAATACATATGAAATGCCATGCCAAAACATAAGTTTTCATTTTGAGAAATAATTCCATGCACTAGTTCCAAAACCACAATTCAAACGCTTTTCATTTCGATAGAAAACAAGGCAGTAAATACAACTCTGATAATCTCTAGGCTAGTGTCAGCAAGTAGTCTCATAGAGCACTACCAATCCACTTTACCGACTCTTAACCGGAAGGAACTTGGAACCTACTCCGTGCATGTTTTTGATCTTTCACCATGGACCTAAAGCCAAACTAATTACCACAACTACACCCCCTAAACAGATTCACCATGGTATTTACCCATTTTCTCAAAAACAATGCAATGGTTCTCAATACAACCATTTTCAATGAGATTCTCAAAATCCGAAACACTGAAATTCCAATTCCATGATACGTTCAATGAAATGCATGATTTGTAAACATTTCAATTTGCCTAATTCACATGCAATTCTACAACACGGCAATTCTATCCTCCACCGATAGCCAAACAGTCAT